TTGAAAATGAAGAACCTTTCTGTGGTGACTCTGACCAGCAGGACATTTTTCAGTGACAGGTCCTGAAAAGGAAGGTCTAAAGAATATAGAATAGGTGAGCTTGGGAGGTCTTGCAGAAGCTATACCTTATTTCAAGCCAGCTCATTTAGAAATATCTTATGCACTATTTCCAGGGCAGAAATGTGACAGAGTCAGAAGAAAGCTATCATATGGTTTTGAAAAGTCAACAGGAAGCAAACAAAGCAGTGATGGCCAAAAGGAACATGGAGAGTTAAAGAGCCTGGCAGACAAAGCACACAGTGGTCTTGGGGCTGATAACTATAGTCTTTTATAGAGAAAAGTCCCAGTATTCAGGAACTGAAGTTTTACCCATTTGAAGTCTGTGCCCAGGTCCAGACTGTCCTTGCCAAGTTCAACCCTGGGCAGGATATAGAATTAAACTCCTTCTGCCTTTTCATCAGGGCCTCTGAGAAAGCTTCTATTAGGTTTGTCTAGGTCCTACAATATATAAGGTTTCTGCCCAGATCTTTTGTAGGATAAAGCATGAGAGAGCTGCATCAGTTACCTACCCCCTCTCTGTAATAGATCTCCTTGGTTTTAAAATAGTCTGGGACTGCAGCATCTTAGTTAGACTCCAGACTTCTCACAGAGGTGCTCTAGTCTGGATGTCAGTGCCTAATGCCTTCTCTGTGGAGAAGGAGATGTTCTAGATACCTGTTGAGCCAGTATAATCATGTCACCATTCCTTTGTATTTTTAACCTGATGAATATAATCTGATATCACTATTATCGTTTTCTGACTCATATTTTCACTTTCTTGCTGAAAAAAGCTGCTTTATCACACTAGTTCTTACATTAAGATGTATTATTACTTATATCTTTTCTCTTTGTTCTACGTATCCCAACTCTTATCATTAACCTGGAATGGTTTGATATCCAAATAGGCTTCTAGTTAAAAACATATCTTTATTTTTTTGAGGTACTCAATATTAATTTCTCTATTTTCATACTCTGAAACCCAGGATTATATATAATCATTAATTATTTGAATTATTTAGGTTTAATGTCACACTGTGTGTTTGTAACACCACACTATTCTTTTTCATACATTGTCTGTTTGTCTTTTCTCTCTCCATATATATAATTATGACAAGATTAAGGTAGTTATGATTTCTGGTATATGTTGTGGTAAAAATATCTTTCTGTCTGTCAGATGATCAAAAGATATTATTAATACAGTTAAATTCTTCAGGATTGCAGCCTTCAAGAAGGTGTATTTTTCGTCTGTAGGATGGTTGCAGCATAACAGTGCAGTAGTTATTTCTGATACTCCGTAACTAGCAAGTGTTCAGTTTGTTTTACACTCATGTGGACAAATGACACTTATCTCTGTTTTTTTTTCCACTTACATCGTGCTTTGTGGTATAGAGGCATTTGTAATCATCTTTATCTGAAACCATCTCACCTCAAATCTGCCATTCTTAGCAGAACTACTCTGAATTCCTAGTAGTCACAGATGGCTTCAGAGCTTACAGCTCAAGTTCACTGACCTCACAGCATCATTTGAATTGTTGCTTAGAGCACCAGGCTTCTCTTCACTCTAGTGATATTTCCTATTCATCCCACAGATTTTGATGGTTGTAGGAATTCTTATCCAAGTGTGCTCCATGAGTTAACTTAGTCTATGAAATATTTGTATATCCACACATTCCCTGTGTAAGACTGCACTGTCTTGACAAAGGAATAAGTTCATGTGACAGGAACATGCTTTGTTAACAAATTTCCAGGTGATTCCTATATATAATTCAATGTGAAACCCTTATGAAATACACACAAATTTTTATGTGCTATTTTTTTTTCATTTTCTGGTAATGTATAGAGTAACCCAAAATGGACAACTCTAGAAAGTCTTGTTCACCTGTTGAAATCTTAGGTTTAAATGAAGCATGGGCAGAAGTCCATGCCTGGCCTTGGCTAAAATGATTGTCATCAAACAGTGACAGCTGAGGAGCTTTCACAGGGTTGTAAGTGTGCTGTGAGACCCTCAAACAGGCTGTCCCTTACTTTGTAATCATCAGTGGTCTTGGGACATGAGGGTTCCTCCCATGCTGTGAGTATGCACCTCCAGTCTTCTGGATCTCACAGCCAGGCAATTGCTGCCATTGCATTGTAATCGTGAGTGTCCACAGAAAGTGATTTTAAGGAATTGTTACTTTTCTTTTTCTTTTTTTAACTTGTAATATGAAAATATCTGTCTTGGCTTCTGCAGTCCTTGCTCTAAGGTTCAAGGTCTGAAAATCCTTGGAAGAGTTAGCATATCCCATAGATCCAAGTCTTCCACTTTAGCTCTAATAGATAAAATAATTTTAATTAGGTGAATATTTTTGTTTCCAAGTGAACCTTCAGGACAATGCTAAGAGACACTTGTGGCTTCCTCCTAATTGCTTTTCCTATTGTGTCAGGACATCTACATCTGTAGATGTTGATGTCGATAGACATATCTCTGTCTGTCTATCTATATTTTAACATATTCTTGTCCTCATTTTCCCATGACACAGCTTCATTCATGGCATGGATATTTCAGGAGGATTTTTGAGCTTTAGCTTGTGTCAAATATAACCTTGGAATATATAACCTTTGGTACATTAATTTCTATTTATATAAAAAGTCTCAAAGTAGCTTAAAACATAATTCCTTTGAGTTTAATGGGGAGGAATCCCTACAATTTGAATTCATGATTGGGTGCTTCACTTCATTTTTCCCTGACCTTTGCTCTGAGGGAATGATAGGAACAGATAGTTAAAGAAATAGGGACAAAACAGGATTTTCCAGAATTTTCTCAACATGCATACCTTGTGTTATATCTTCTGTTTGATGTATAAGAATGAGTAAACTGTGTGAGCATAATGAACCCCAAGTTTGGTAACTGTGGAAGGAACCCTCAGCTACAAGTGTGGGTGGGTGTGGACGCAGACAAGAGAGTGTTCACAGCGGATTTCCTTTTGTTCATTTGGCCTCACAGAGCTTTGAGTTTGTTCTCTCTCATTCACTAGTCAGTGTGACATCTCCCACCTGTAATGGACACATCAGTGGTCTATGCTGATTTAAACTTAGCCAGTACCCAAGCACTTAGACATGCATCACCTCCATCTCTTCCTTCGGGTAAGTGGCTTTATTTTTCCTTTCAGTACCTGAATAATATCTTCTAGAGTTAAGCCTCTTGTGCTATATTGCAGTTTTACATGATTGTTTTGGGATGGTGAGATGAGTCCTCAGGTAAAAACACTTGCTGCACAATCCTAACAACCAGAGTTCAGTTCCCAATAACTTTGGTGGAAAGAGAATCACCTCTTTGAAGGTGTTCTCTGATCTCTACATCTAGTGTGGCGTGAATACACCTGCAGTCACACACCATACACACACACACACACACACACACACACACACAAACACACTCACAAATGCTTACACATGTGTCAGATAACTACAACTTCAGAGATAAAAACTTAAATGTAATATTATTTAAGGAATTCATGAAACATGAACAGGGCTTCTTCTATTCAGCCTTAGTTGCGAGAACTGAAGAAATAACATTCTGCATATATGAGCAGAAAAGTATTTTAGAGACACTGCAGACTCCTGTAAGAACTTGCTCATTCCAGATCCTGGTACAGAACACAAACACTTTAACTCTGTTTTACTGAAATTGCACCCTAACAGCCAGCATTGGATAAAACCAGCCCTCTCCTCTGACAGAGAAGTTAGTAATCTCGGTGAAAGCAATGTTTAAGACTGAGATAATACTCAGGGGATAAAACGATATGAGTTTGTGTGGAAGGGGACCAGAAACTGATGTAGACAGTGTGTTTAAAACTATTTCAAGATAGTAGTGCATTCTGTGACCTAACTGAACTTACTGACAGTAGTAACATTGCAAGGTTTTCACTTTAACATTCTTCCTATATTGTGAAAATTAAGTGATTATGATAATATTTTTAGGAACTTTGGTTAGAAACTATTAAATTATAAAAGTTTTAAATTGGGGAAACATCTTAGAGTCATCACATCAGCTTCATTGTCATCTTTACATCAGGTCAGGGGACAGTGAGGCCTTGACACTGCTGGAAGATTCCAGGGAGCAGGTGTGATAAGAAGAAGCATACTTTTTGTTTCTTTGTGTTAATGCTTAGTATGGGAAAGGGCGTGCTGAAATGGATGTAACAAAATGAAAGTTAAGAAAAACAGTGAGGATTCCACAATAACAATATCCTTGATACCAAATCATGAGACTAGGAAATTTGTTAACCCTCATTATGATTATTACCCTACAAACCATCAGCTTGAATAGAAACCTGAAGGACAAAAGGAGTAGAATAAATTCAGAGCAAAGCTGGTGGAGAGAAAGCACTGAGTAGGTAGCAAAAGAAATGAAACTGCCCAAATTCATTATCCATTAGCTACACAGCTCAAAGTGTGGGAAATTCACAGCAAAGTGATTAGATCTCCCAGTGCACAAACAAACAACAAACAAACACAGAAAGAGGGGCATAGGCAGTGATCTGCTTTGTGCCTAAATGTTCAAAGGCTAGCTTTAATAGTAGGATGGATAAATTGTGTACAGAGCTCATTAATTCATTCAGAAATAACCACCTTCTCTGTGTCAGTATTTCTTTGTATGAAGATCCATCTGTAATCAAACATGAACATCTATTTCTTATTGGGTCTATATGACTGTGGAAGTATGAAGTCATTGAACACCTGCCTCAGAGATTGTGTGATGTTGAATGCCAGGAAAAAAACCATTTAAATGGAAGCTAAGATTTTGCCTTTGGAGATGGCATCACGTCAAACAGAGTGATCTAGTCACTCCTTCCAGAGAGATGATGCAGAGTGAGTCCTCAAAGATACCAGGGACCAAGGCAGAGTATCTGAGAGATGAGTTTTCTAGGAAGCTGGACCAACAAATGCAAATGGAGAAAATACCTGTGATGCAGGGGAACATGCATGCCCAGTGTGGTGTGGAGATCAAACCAGGAGGAATGCTGAAGTGGAAGGGATTTAGAAGACATTCCATAGGCTCAGATCACTATGAGGAGAAAGCCATTGAAATGCCTGTAACAGTAAAGATGATTTATCATTTTGTAGATACCAATGAATGCCTGAAACTGGTCCTGCCACATAAATTAAGTTCACATGGTCTTTTAAAGGCATATCCACTCAGTCTAATCTCATAAAGAAGAGATCAAACACTCATGATGTCTATGCGATTCCTTATATCTTAGTGTGAAAGAACAGAAATTTCAAAAATCACCTAAGTAGTCCTTCAATTTTTGTTGAAAAATAAAACATTTGGGTGTTGGGGGAGAGTGGGGGAGGAATTACTGTGTATTGATTTGTACATTGTAGAAGACACTGTGCTTTGAAATTTATAAGAATTCTTTCATAAATCCTTAAAAGTTTGTGAAGTAGATATTGTGCCATCATTTTACAGACAAGGAAATTTCTGGCATATGACAGTTAAACATAATGCTTCAATATTGTATTGTACTGTATTATATTATGACAAATTTGAAATATGACTGAACTGATTACTAGACTTTAGTAAAAACCATGAAAATAGTGACTGTATGAAGATAATTCTATTTTACAAAAGCATTTAGAATTTCAAGGGTAGAAAGAGTGAGAAATGAGAGAAATTATGCACATACACATACATATATACATATAACAGGAAATATGACTTGTTAGGCTTATTTAATGGACTTAGTCACTCTGTGTCACACCAGTTTTCAGGAGAAATTCTGGCTAATATATATATCCTAGTTTTCTCATATTTTGGGTGTCTTTGGGGTCATGGAGTTTTCTCTGATCTCTGCCTCCTTGTTCTATATTACAGCATGTCCTATACAACAGAAATAGCAATCCATGTTCTCATTCCTCAAGTCCAATGACTGTCTGTATCTTTCCATGACAGTCTTGTGTCACTTCTGAACATACAGCATTGCTCACTGTCCACAGAAGATTGCTTACAGAACCTCCATATATAAGTTCATGTCTCTTCTATAAAAAGCATTTATGCAGGACCTATGTGAATATCTCTATGTCATTAGATAATCTCCAGCATCTAAGATGATCTCAACACCATGCAAATAACTGTTATAATTATTTGTCTAAAGAATATGATGAAGAAATGATGTGGAATTCCCCTCTGTATGCTTTGAATACCATTGCAACCAATTATATGTATGTATATATATATATATATACATATATATATGCTGCTTTCATCCAATGACTTAACAGAATATAACAAAACTGGAAGACATATATAGAGAGAAGATAGGCAGAGTCAGGGAGAAGTCATGTATCTGCTGCAGGAGATAGACGCAAGACACAGGACAGAACTTTACCAGCAGACCAAACCGTGTAGCAATACACAGATTAATAGAAATAGGTTAATTTAAGATGCAAGTGCTATCTAGAAATATGCATAGGCTAATAGGTAAAGCAGTGTTTTAATTAATACAGTTTATGTGTGGTTATTTTGGGTTTGATCAATAGATTTTTATATGTGAAAAGTTTTATCTAGCAGTGAACTACTGAGTCTACAGATATGGAGATGGATGGTTTCTAAGGCTAAGGGGAACTGTCTCTTATCTCCTAATCTCCTAGGAATATTTTTATCTTTCTGCCCTTTTTTTGTTTTTTCCTCAAGAACATTTTAAAATGATTTAACTTACTTATTGACTGTCAGCATCCTGAAACTGCTCAACATTTCTAAGACCTCTGTGTTTCTATTCAATCTGAATCATACAATTCAGCCACCAAATGAAAAAAAGAATAAAAAAAGACAAGGTAGAAATAGGCACATGGACAATTCTTGATCAACCAATGAGAATAAAAGAACATTTTTCGTAAGTATAGTTTTAAATTTTAACAGGCAACTTACAGCATGCCATCAATTATACAAGAAAATACTTGGAAGGAACAGAAAGTTAACAAAAAATAGGAATAAATCTGCCACTATAGAAATTAGAAATCCTGAGCCATATATGGTGGGACACAGCTGTAATTCCAGTCCTTGAGAAGTGGAGACAGGGCATCAGGTGTTCAATGTAACTCTTAACTGCAGAGGGAGTTCAACTAGCCTAAACTACAGGAAACCCAGTCTGACAAACACAACAAAGCAAAACAAAAAGAAACACAAAGACTCTGCGGAAAATGGTTCTAATAATTAAATCAAGAAACACCATTCATGAAATGGTAATACTTGGATCTAATATTTGGATCTGTTGAAAATTAAATGAGGAAAAGTGGATTATGATTAAATTAGAGATGTAAGAACCAGCTAATGTTTCTTTTTATCGTTTTTCTAAACACAACTTTCATTTGCCCCATATGAATCCCATATTTTCAAAATTGTCTAGCAGAGATTTAAATTCACAAAATTGTGGTACATAATGACCACATCTCAAATATTAATAAATTTTACTGTTAATAAAAACAAGACATTCCTTGTTGGTAGTTACCAAAGAAAGCAGACATATTAATCATGGTGTTTAGGCAGTACAGTGTGGTACCCTTAGTGTATGTCATGTTATGTAGGAGGCATGGGGGTCCGTGTACTTACAGATGAGCACTAAGGCAACCAGGAATATTAAAATCACAGGGCTGTTACTTCAAAGGAAGGGATGCATAACCTGTTATCCATCCAGAAAGCTGGGTTTGGGCTTTTATACGCTGGTGACTATTGTTGTAGCTGTGTAGCTGAGAACACAATGAATCAACTCCAGGAACCTTATCCTGATCTTGTCAATCTATAGAACTTACCTTTAGGGAAGATGTTATATGTACTTTATAAAGAGTTTTGATATAGGCACATCTTAAACTTTGTTGTGCATATGGTGTAGAGTTAGTTATCACCAGTAAAGATTTTACCAAATTGTGGTGTGTTTCAAATGCCATAAAAAACCTACTTGCATTCAGGCATCTGAAGTGTGAATGAATAGCAGCTACTTAATCATGTTGAACCAAACTGCCTGCTCACCTTCTGCAGATCATTACATTGTAGCCATGGTGGTCACAGAGACTCCCATAATGTAATACCACAGTACCCCTTATCTACTATAGACACAGTGTATGTCATGTTACAGCACAGTACTGTTAGACCCCGCCTTCCAGTGGATACCCACACCCGATCCAGGCGCGCGCCTTCCTGAACTCGGGCCCACGAGAATGGACGATTGTCCTGAGGGTTTAAAACAGACACACACAAAAAAGAGACCTTTGCTCATTTACCAAGAGTAAATGGCAACTTTATTAAACTCAAGTCGGGTATTTATAGAAGTGGGCAAGCGGGATCAAAAAGGGCAAGGCCTCCTCCCAACAGAAACAGGAAGGAGAATAAAGGCCCCAGTAAAGGAAAACTCCTCCCACCCAGAGGGGGTTGGGGAAACTGGCCTCTGTGGGAGTTTTTGCCCAGGCAGGTGGTCAAGGGTTCAAGGCAATGTCAGACAGGTTAGATGGGCCTTGGCGCCTGAACTTCTTTGAGGCAGGTTGAGAAATTACCATTTTAAAGTAAAATAGATCCCTCAGGCTAATGTACCAGGCTGTAGCAGAACCAAGGATGGAACTAGCAGGAAGCTTAGCTGGTTAGCGTAAACATTATTTGCATCCAGTATTTTGGTCTCAAGGATCAGGGAGGACAGGGTCCCACACAGTACCCCTTATCTGCTATAGACACATGTATGTCATGTTACAGCACAGTATTCCTTTATTTGCCATTTCCATGTCTATAGCTTCTGTTACTTCAACAGTGATCTTAAAACAATAACTATAAAATTCTATAAATAATTAACTCAATGTTTTAAGCTGAAAACTACCCTGATCAGCAACAATGAGCTCTCACAGCATCTAGGATAAGACGTGAATCTCTAGTAACTAGTGCTTGTGTCCCAATAACTTCCACTTACTCAGTGCTGGCCCCAAATTGTAAAAGCCATGATACCAACAACATAGTCATTCCAAGGAGAAGCCATAGCCATAAAGTATTCCTCTAATTTAAAGGTGATAGTTCAAAGTCCTCCACATAGTAGAATAAATTGTTTTTACTGTCACACACCATATTGTGAAAGTTATAGCCACCAGGTATAGTTTAGGCTTAGTGAAGATGAAACCCCCCACAGCCCCGTGTGTGTGTGTGTGTGTGTGTGTGTGTGTGTTAAAAAGTGCAAACAGAGTGTAGCACTATTTCCAGTTTCAGTCAATCCACTAGAAGTGTTGGAAAGAGTCCTGTAGTTAAGGGAGGTCTTGTGTAGTGACAAAATCATCTCTGACTTTTCCCCCAGATGCCCTCAAGTGGATTTAACAAAGTGTTTTCTTTGCACTTCTTAGATGCCTGTCAGTGCCCACGCTGGCATTGGTTGGCTCTGAAACTCAGCTGTGCTGGGCTGATCTTGCTTGTCTTGAGCCTAATTGGACTGGGTGTTTCAGGTAAGTGACTCAAGAGCTTTCACTTCATACTTTCCCCACATAAACATAAGTCCTCTTCATAGCACTTGGCCACCTTGAGCCTAGGGGAAGGTCAATGGCATCTAATGTTATAGGACAATATCCTGTGTCTTCTGCGAAAACTTCACATTTCTTTCATGCTTCTTAATTTCTTTTCACGAGAACCATTATGGGTGTGACATATGTGCATCTAAAATTATAAAACATAAAAGTCACAATTGTGACAAAAATATAGCAACAAAGAAAACTAAGAGGCCCCTATATTAGCTTGCAACATGCCTGCTAAACATTCTCTTAGGGTGGGTGTTACTGAAGATGAGAAACCTCAGGTATGAGTATGGGCAATCTGAGAGGTTCAGCAACACCCACAGACTGACCAGTCAATCAGAACACATGTAACCTCAGAGCTGTTTGATTCCACATGTTCTGTGTGTTTCTTGTTCATATATCCCATCCAAAAACTCATCCCTTAATGCAGTTTGCAAATATTGTATCCGTCCAGATGTTCAGATGAAATAACTTGATTTCCTAAAATAAGAAACAGAACACTGATCACCATTTGTTTCAGCATTTAATTCTCTCTATGTGTTTTGTTATTTACTAGTGCGAGTCTTAGTGCAAAAACCACCAATAAAACAATGCAGTGTGTCTGCTCAAGAGACTGTGGCTGAACCAACAGGTAATTGTATGGCTTGAATTTTCTGAGAAAAAGGGGTGATTTTTGACAGAAAATGTTAGTTACCTCAGTCAGAATTCACAACAGTCTGCTTTAAGACATTATATCACAATGGATTTATCTCTGAGAAGACAGTCATAAAAATGTTAAGAACTTGTGGAAAGTCACATGGTTCTTAAATGTTGGGGCTGTGAACTGTATCGAAGCTGGGTGACCTTGACATCTATGATCTTAGCCACCTGGCCATGCCTGCTCAGGGTGCAGGTGCACATGACCCCTAGAAGGCAGTTAAAAAGGAGAAGATTTGATTAATTTAATGAACATGTTAAACAGTTTACTTTGTCAGAAGTTATTAGAAACAAAACATAGGATGAATCCTCTGCCATTAATTATAATTCCTTGACATATGATTGCATCAACCTTGTTCCAGCATGTGCTAAATGAAACAGCTCCTGTGTGAGTTGATTGTGGTACAGCAGGAACAGGGCAGAAATAAACATGTCTTCCTTCTTACTGTAGGGAGATCAACCATACTAAAGTGTCCAAGAGATTGGCATCTACACTGGGATAAATGCTTATTTTTTTCTCAAAATTCAAGACCTTGGGATGAAGGTCTAGCTGATTGTTCTGTGAAAGAAGCCACTTTGCTGCTCATTCAAGATAAAAAAGAACTGGTAAAGTGTTAATAAATTGCACAGTATAATGTAACACTTTCTTTAAGCTATATTGACATATCTGGACTTTAACCAATTTTCTATGCCAAGAAATGGATACCTGAATTTTAGGAAGTTCAAAATTGGAGGGATTGATTTTACTAATGAATTAATAGCTGAATGTAGTAGAAGGAATCAATTAAACATATGCCTGTTCTTGGTGGTGTACACCTTTCACCCCAATACTAGGGAGGCAGAGGAAAGTGGGTCTCTCTGAATTTGATGCCTGTCTGGTCTACAGTCTTAATTCTAGGACAGCCAAAGTTACACAAAGAACCCCTGTCTCAAAACACACACACACACACACACACACACACACACACACGCAGGTTTCTCCGTCTCCATATATATAGATCTACATATATGTATATATATATATATATATATATTGTACTTTCTCTCCATATATATATATATATATATATATATATATATATATATATATGGAGAGAACAATTTCATAAAGTAGATATCGCTTTATGCTGGTGGGTAGCTAGAAGTAAGAGTGTTTTAGAAGGTTAGTAGAAGAAAGTAAGTCATGAATAAACAGATTTTAGATTAATCATTCCACTATGTTTTGAATATAGACACTGATTCAGAACGTCTCAAATAGAAAAGGACATCAGTTTTCTATTGGACTAAAATATGTACCAATGGAGAAGATCTGGAAGTGGATAAATGGGTCTACTTTAAATCTTGATCAGTAAGTATTAAATTATATTATTTGGCTAATCAATTCACATCCATTTTTCTGAAAATTAGATTTTATAATTTTAATTTAGTTTGTAAATCTTGAGAGCATTAAATTAGTCTGAAAAGATAATTCCCACATTGAAAATTTTCATGTACAAGTAGACATCAACCCTTATATTATTTGTGTATATGTTTTTGTCTCCAATAAAGATAATTAAAATTAAAAGACAAGTAGAGTAAGTTCTTAGGGTTAGAGATAAAATATTTTTAAATGTCTATCTGAAATTCATAGATTTCACCTTTCTTTTCATTTTTCTAAACATCCCCACTAACACAGAATTTCTATAATTTTTTAAAAATAGTTTAGGTGTGTGCCTGAGTGTATGTCTGTGTTCTATGTACATGCAGAAGTCCACAGAAGTGAGAACAAAGCGTCAGAATCTCTGGAACTGGAGATACAGAGAGTTGTGAACGGCACTGTGGGTGCTGGAACTTGAACCCAGGTTCTGTGTGAGCATAGTAAGCACTCCTCACCCCTAGGTCACTCTTCAGCTCCTACACAGAAGCCCTTACAAGCACTTTAGAGTTGGGGTGAGAAAGTTGCACCATAGAGTCATGAAATGAACTTCTCGAGACAGAATCAGTGTAGACATTGCAGTTTAAAATAATTTCAAACATAGAAAAGTTTGATTTTCTTTTTTAAATTCTTTTTTTAATTTTTATTTTTCCATTTAATTATTTACACTTTCTTCCCTCCTCTCAATCTCCTCCTGCTCCCCTGCACCCCCTCCTCCCTCTCCCACCCTGCTTTGACTACTATGGGAAGTCCAAGGCCATCCCCCAACTACATCCAGGCCTAGAGAGCTGTGTATCCATATAGACTAGGGTCTCAAAAAGCCAGAACATGCCGTAAAAGCAAGTCCCAGTGCCTTTATCAATGGCTTCTCAGTCAGCCCCCATTGTCAGCCACAATCAGAGAGTCTGGTTTGATCACATGCTCATTCAGACCCGGTCCAGCTGGTTTGTTGAGCTCCCATTAAAACAAGCACACTGCTTCAGTTGGTGGACCAACCCCTCGAGGTCCTGACTTTCTTGCTCCCTCCTTCTGCCTTTCAACTAGACCTTGTAAGCTCAGTCTGTTGTTCTGATGAGGGTCTCTGTCTCTATCTCCATCCATCGCCGGACAAAGATTCTATAGTGATATTCGAGATAATCATCAATGAGATAGTGGGCAAGGATAGTTCAGGCACCCTCTCCTCTGCTGTCCAAGGACCTATCTAGGAACATCCCCGTGGAAACCTGGGATCCCCTCTAGAGCCAAGTCCCTTGTCAACCCTAAAATGGATCCCTTAAGGTAGGCATCTTCTTCCCTGCTCCTATATCTGCCCTTCCTCCATATTCACCGTCCCACTCCCCCAAGCTCTTGCCAGTCCTTTCCTTCTCCCTTCCCTCCCCTCCTCTAATTTTCTTTTCTTGTGTGTGTCTGAGGGCATGTTAATTTTGGTTTGTGTGTGCTTCGTAATTGAGCTATGATATAAAATGCTTACTCAATTTTGATTCATAGTAAAAAAATAATAATAAATAAAAATGTATATCTCAAGCAGAGGATTAAGCTCAGTTTCCTGATTTTACTCTTTGGATAAAATGATGCTCTGATGAGACAGAAGTGACAAGGTAAATTTTGAGGCCATCAAACTACAATAGAAGTGCTTATTTCTATATCACAGCAGAGTGATTGGAGGTGGAAATAGGAAAATCACCCAGATTCATCTGGGCCAGTGAGCCTGGAGTACACAGCACAGTGGTAAGTGAGGCTCCCCACCAAATTGTCTTTTGACTTTTACACAAGCTGTGACCCTCCCTTCATCACCATATCTCCTTTCTAGCTTATCTCAATTCCCTGAGCCCTGTTTTTCAGGTAAGAAAATAAGGGGAAAGTTTTGCAACTAGGATCATTTTGGTAATTAAAAGAAATGATGTTAGAACCTTCACCAAAAATCTGGTTGGGCAAGCACTGGGAATCTACCAAATGCATCTTGAAAAGTCATTGATTTGAACAATTGGCATTAAGAAAGGGAGTCTTGAAAACTGGAGAAAGAAGCTGTAGGATGAAATAATAAAATGTAGGGACATTTACAGAAGCACTGTGGAGGAAAGTTAATAGTTTGATTAGCATGCTGGACACTAGGGTGACATCAAATTTACTACTCAGGCCCAAGAAGGGGCTCCAGGAAGAAAGAGAAGTAGAGTGACAACTGTGAGGGATTCCTGCCTATTGCCTGATGTGCGACCTCCTCTGCTAGAGACTGGCAGGTCTTGAACTCTCCAATTACTTGTAATGAACACAGAAGCTTCCTGTGTTAGTCCTTGACTTCTGGTCTTATTTCTACCCTCAGCAATCCCAGGATTGCACAGTGTGAGACTAGTGGTGTGTTAAACCTAACACCAACCAGCTCTGGAATAAGAAGAGAAGAAATCCAATTCTGCTCCACATGAGTTGAGTGTCCTTTGCTCTCTGCATTCAATTCTCTGTAGACCCACTGTGTTTACATTGTATGTTGAGTAAATTTGAAGAGCACCTACTTATGTAACTATTGTTATATATTCATGTACATCTCAATGACTTTCCTTAACATCAGCTGGTTTTACCTAATTTAATAAAGGAAAACGAAGCCCAACAAGAAGCTGATGCTTTCCAGATGATCATAGGATATGTTAGCAGTAGAATAAACAGTTTTCATCTCACATTTCCAAACCTTCTCCTTTTTGGACATCACTGTGAAGATTCTTGCTGGAAGAATTCTTTTCCAGAGAGGCTGAAACTGAGTATTCTAGAGGTTTCTCTCAGCTGTATCTTTAGTGTTTACATGTGCTTATTATGCTTGTAACTGTGTGTTTATTATGCTTAAACACTCTGTACTCTTCAGCACTCTTAAAAGTCCAAAGAACAAAAAACGACTATGTGACAATTGTAAGAAAATTGTAAAGACTAGAAACAGCTCTTCTTTGCCCTTCAGATTACGAGTCACTGGCAAGGAAGAAGAAAACAGCTGTGCTCTCATTTCGGAGACAAAAGTGTTTTCTGACACTTGCTCTGCAGACAACCGTTGGATCAGCCAAAAGAAGCTGAAACATGAGTGAAATCCTGACTCCTGATTGTGATTCTCGTCTCTATTCTTTTACTTTCCACACCAGCTGTCTGCATTGAGCTGTCAAGGCTGTCCCTCCCAGTGCAGTTAGTGGCATAAAGGATGGACTATAAAACCATTGTGACTCATACAGAACTCACTTCCAGTTTCTTATTCTGTATATGTAAATGTATGTTTACACAGATGTGCCATTCTAAGAGAAGTATTGTATAGAAGGAAAACTAGGCCATCAAGGAACATTAGAGTCTTTGTGTAACCTTAGATGATCTCTGTGCATGAGGCCATCTGCAGACAGCAGAGAGCTGCAGAAAACTGTTGACAAAGTCCTCATCTCTTACCTCTACCCCAAGCTATCTCACAGCTGGGCTGTAGAGCCTTGATTGAAGTTTTTGCTCTTGACTCTGATACACAGGTTCACATAAAAGGAGCATTAGAAAGAAATAGATATTTTGATTGAGATCTTCACATTAGTTGATGATTGATTGACTAATGCTGTGATAATGAGAGTGATTCTAGGTAAACTGAACTGGTCAGCATAAAACCTCCCACTCTGCCATGATTTATCTCTTGACCCTGGAGATTTTGTGGCACTTTGGTGCTCTACTTCTCAGTATCCACAGCTGTGAGACAGGAGGGTTTTCTCTTCTCTAGTTTCCTGTTGTGGCAACACAAATGGACTAAGACATGATCTTGTATCTGCCCACTGTTTCACAAGCCATTCCATTTTAATTTTCTCATAATTTCTATCTTATGCATCTCTCTATAGTTTTGTATCATTCACAAACTATAGGAAGGTAGCAAAGTAAATATTTGTTTATCTTAGTAGAATATAAATGGTATGCTTTCAGTTAGATAAACTAAAAAAGTAAGTATTTCTTCTGATAAATCTCTTGGATGAACACTTTTCTAATAAAATCTTGCCAACATGTCTGTAGTAATGAAAAAAGAAGATAAGGAGGCATAATAAAATTTTTGCTAAAAGATACATCTACATATATATGCACACAATGTCAAATTTGGTTACTTAAATGGAAGCATATGCTATGATACAAGTACAATTTCTATTAAAAAGTTATTTGATTGTTGTTTTTACATCTCATTCATAGTATTCCTTCCTCTTCTCCCCCAAGTTCCTTCCCTTGAACTTCTTCCCCATCTCCCATCTACTCCTCCTCTTCTCTTTTGCTTTTTGCTTTTTTAATTTACTTTGTTTATCTGGAAAAAAAGATCCATTCTAATATAATATTATCCATCTACATTAAAATTCCTGTAGGAGCTCCTGCTTGCCATCCCAGCTCCCATCCAGGTACGAATTCCTATATTTCTCCCTTCCCCCTGGGGCCATAAAATTTCCCCAGCTCAGCTGCCTTGCGAGTTGGGCCTGGACTGTAGGCACATCCCGGCTGGAGGCAGTTGCTGGGTCTTAAAGGCCTCCCTGAGGACAGGTGGACCAGGGGCCAGCTCAGCCACATTCCTGACCAGCAGGGGCCCTGACTTTTAGCAGAGGGCCATTGGAGGGGTGAGTTTCCTTCGGGCCTGGGCAGGGTCCCGGTGAGGAGGAGCTTGGGCATTCCCCGACCCCATAGACGCCCAGGTCGCCCTGCAGTGCTGGCTACCCCCTCCCGCCTGCCATCCCAGCTCCCATCCAGGTACGAATTCCTATATTTCTCCCTTCCCCCTGGGGCCATAAAATTTCCCCAGCTCAGCTACCTTGCGAGCTGGGCCTGCATTGTAAGCACATCCCTGAAAGAGGGAGTGCCTGTGCTTCAATAGCCTGCCTGAGGAAAGGTGGACATTCTGTCAGTGAAGTCCCTGCCCAAGAAGGGAACCTGACCTGGTAACAGAAGTTCCAATAGAGAACATTTGAAGTAAGAGATGGGCAGACGCCAAGGCAAGACCTCATCCAACAATCTGAAAAACAACATGAAAACACCAGATCCCAAGGACCCTACAATAGAAGGACTTGAACACCTTAACCCAGAAGTGGTGGAAAAAAGTGCCATTATGAAAGCAATAGAGTCCCTTAAACAGGATATGAAAAACTCCCTTAAAGAATTGGATGAGAAATATAACAAAAAGTTTGAAGAAATGAGTATAGAATTAGATGAGAAATATAACAAAAAGTTTGAAGAACTAAGTAAATCCATGAATGAGACTCTGAGAAACCAAGAAAAAACAATCAAACAAGTAAAGGAAACAGTGCAAGAATTGAAAACTGAAATGGAGGCAATGAAGAAAACACAAACCGAGAACCGGCTGGATATGGAAAACCTAGGTAAACGAACGGAGACTACAGAATCAAGCATAACCAATAGAATACAAGAGATAGAAAAACAAGTCTCAGATTCTGAAGATACCATAGAGAAAATAAATGCTCTGGTCAAAGAAAATGGCAAATCCAACAAATTCTCTTCACCAAACATTCAGGAAATCTGGGACACAATAAAAAAACCAAATCTAAGAATAATAGGGATTGAAGAAGGAGAAGAACTGCAGATCAAAGGCCCAGAAAATATATTCAACAAAATTATAGAAGAAAACTTTCCCAACCTAAAGAACGATATTCCTATGAAGGTTCAAGAAGCATACAGAACACCGAATAGACTGGATCAGAAAAAAACATCCCCTAGCCATATAATAATCAAAACACAAAACATACAGATTAAAGAAAGAATTTTAAGAGCTGCAAAAGAAAAAGGTCAAGTAACTTATAAAGGTAAACCTATCAGGCTTACACCGGATTTCTCTATGGAAACCATGAAAGCCAGAAGATCCTGGATAGAGGTACTGCAGAAACTAAGAGACCATGGTTGCACACCCAGACTACTATACCCAGCCAAGCTATAGTTCACTATCAACAGAGAAAACAAAATATTCCAGGATAAAAACAAATTTAAACAATACGTAGCTACGAATCCAGCCTTACAGAGAATATTAGAAGGAAATCACTACCTCACTACCGAAGGAATCCAACATTCCCAACACTGCCTACAATAACTCAAACATCTAGCGACCATTCACAAGCACAAATCAAAGAAGGAAAACACATACATTCTACTACCTAAAAAAAAAAAAATGACCGGAGTCAACAATCACTGGTCATTAATATCACTTAATATCAATGGACTCAATTCACCTATAAAGAGGCACAGACTTAGAGATTGGATACAAAAACAGGATCCAACATTCTGCTGTTTACAAGAAACACACCTTAACCACAAAGACAGACACCTACTCAGAGTTAAGGGTTGGGAAAAGGTTTTCCAAGCAAATGGACCTAAGAAACAAGCGGGTGTGGCCATTCTAATATCTAACAAAATTGACTTCAAACTAAAATCAATCAGAAGAAATGGAGATGGACATTTCATACTCATAACTGGAACAATTCATCAGGAGGAAGTCTCAATCCTGAATATCTATGCTCCTAATATAAAGGCACCCACATATGTAAAAGAAACTCTTCTAGAACTCAAGGCAGTCATCAAACCACACACACTATTAGTAGGAGATTTCAACACTCCTCTCTCACCAATGGACAGGTCAATCAGACAGAAAACAAACAGAGAATTAAGAGATTTATTGGAGGTATTGAATCAAATGGACTTAACAGACATCTATAGAACACTCCACCCAAACAGGAAAGAATATACCTTTTTCTCTGCAGCTCATGAAACCTTCTCGAAAATTGACCACATACTCGATAACAAAGCAAACTTCCACAGATACAAAAAATATTAGTAACTACCTGTGTCTTGTCAGATCACCATGGACTAAAATTAGAATTCAACAACAATGCTTCTCCCAGGGAGCCAACGAACTCATGGAAGTTGAACAGTCAACTACTAAATCACCCCTGGGTCAAGGAAGAAATAAAGAAAGAAATTAAACTCTTCCTTGAATTTAATGAAAACAAAGACACAACATACTCAAACCTATGGGACACTATAAAAGCAGTGCTAAGAGGAAAGTTCATAGCACTAAGTGCCCAATTAAAGAAAATGGAGAAAGCACACATTGGAGACTTAACAGCACACTTGAAAGATCTAGAAAAAAAGAAGCTGATTCACCCAGGAGGTCTAGCAGACTGGAAATAATCAAACTGAGGGCTGAAATCAACAAAATAGAAACACAGAAAACAATCCAAAGAATCAATGAATCAAAAAGCTGGTTCTTGGAGAAAATCAACAAGATTGACAAGCCCCTATCCAAATTAATCAAACAGCAGAGAGAGAACATGCAAATTAATAAGATCAGAAATGAAAAGGGGGACATAACCACAGACACAGAGGAAATTCAGAGAATCATTAGATCTTACTATGAAAGTTTATATGCCACAAAGTTGGAAAATGTAAAAGAAATGGACATTTTTTTAGATAAGTACCATATACCAAAGTTGAACCAAGAACTGGTGAACAATCTAAATAGACCTGTTAGTCGCGAAGAATTAGAAGCTGTTATCAAAAATCTCCCTACCAAAAAAAGCCCAGGACCAGATGGTTTCAATGCAGAATTCCACCAGAACTTCTAGGAAGAGCTAATACCTATACTCCTTAACGTATTCCACAATATAGAAACAGAAGAGTCATTGCCTAACTCCTTTTATGAAGCTACAGTTACCCTAATACCAAAACCACAAAAAGATACAACCAAGAAAGAGAATTACAGGCCAATCTCACTCATGAACATTGACGCGAAAATTCTCAATAAAATACTGGCAAACCGAATCCAAGAACACATTAGAAAAATTATCCATTATCATCAAGTCGGCTTCATTCCAGAGATGCAGGGCTGGTTCAACATACACAAATCTATCAATGTAATCCATCATATAAATAAAATGAAAGAAAAAAACCATATGATCATTTCATTGGATGCTGAAAAAGCATTTGACAAAATTCAACACCCATTTATGATAAAGGTGTTGGAGAGACTGGGGATACAAGGATCATACCTAAATATAATAAAAGCAATATACAGCAAGCCGACAGCTAACATCAAACTGAATGGAGAGAATCTCAAAACCTTTCCACTAAAATCAGGAACGCGACAAGGCTGTCCACTCTCTCCATACCTC